TGATGCCTCCAGGGATAGCATTGAATCTATAAATTTCTTTGGGCAGTATGGCCATTTTTACAATATTGATTCTTCCTAACCATGAGCATGATATCTTTCTCCATCTGTTTGTGTCCTCTCTTATTTCGTTGAGCAGTGGTTTGTAGTTCTCCTTGAAGAGATCCTTTACATCTGTTAGTTGTATTCCTTAGTATTTTATTCTCTTTGTAGCAATTCTGAATGGCAGTTCGTTCTTGATTTGGTTCTGCTTAAGTCTGTTATTGGTGTATAGGAATGCTTGTGATTTTTGCACATAATTTTGTATCCTGAGACTTTGCTGAAGTTGCTTATCAGTTTCAGGAGATTTGGGGCTGAGACAATGGGGTCTTCTAAATATACAATTATGTCACCTGCAAATAGAGACAATTTGACTTCCTCCTTTCCTAATTGAATAACTTTATTTTTTTTCTTTCTTTCTGATTGCTCTTGCTAGAACTTCCAGTACTATATTGAATAGAAGTGAGAGAGGGCATCCTTGTCTACTTCCAGATTTCAAAGGGAATGCTTCCATTTTTTGCCCATTCAATATGATATTGGCTGTGGGATTGTTGTAAATAGCTTTTATTTTTTTGAGATACGTTTCATCAATATCTAATTTATTGAGAGTTTTAGCATAAAGGGCTGTTGAATTTTGTGGAAGGCCTTCTCTGCATCCATTGAGATAATCATGTGGTTTTTGTCTTTGGTTCTGTTTATGTGGTGAATTACGTTTATAGACTTGTGTATGTTGAACCAGCCTTGCATCCCCGGATGAAGCCTACTTGATCCTGATGGATAAGATTTTTGATGTGCTGTTGCCATTGGTTTGCCAGTATTTTATTGAAGATTTTTGCATCTACGTTCATCATGGATATTGGCCCGAAATTTTCTTTTTAGTTGCATCTGACGGATTTCGGTATCAGGATGATGTTGGTCTCATAATATGATTGGTGAAGGATTCCCTAACACATTTTATTTATCCTTTCATCAATTTATAGGCATTTAGATTGTTTCCACTTTTTTCTTTTCTTTTCAGTTTACACATTGTACATTGTATATGTACATATTCCATTGTACATATTTATGGAATGCAGTCTGTTATTTCCATATGTGTAACGATCAAATCATAGTAATTAGCATCCATCACCTCAAACATTTATCATTTCTTTGTGTTGTGAGCATTAAAAATCCTCTCTACTCGCTTTTTGAAAATATACAATAAATTATGGTTAACCACATTCACCCCACAATGCTGCAGAATACCTGAACTCATTCTTCCATCAAACTATAATTTTGTAATCATTAACCAAGCTCTTCCCATTCTCCCCTCTTGCTATCTTTCCCATTCTCTAATACCGACAATTGCACTCTACTTTTTCTTAGCTCCCGTGAGTGAGGACATGTGGTATTTATCTTTCTGTGCTTGTCTATTTTGCTTAACATCATGTCTTCCAGGCTCATCCACGTTGCTGCAAATGACAGGATTTCATTGTTTTTTGTGGCTGAATAGTATTCCAGTGTGTATAATGCCACATTTTCTTTATCATTTGTCTGTTGGTGAACATTTGAGTTGATTCCATATCTTAGCTATTGTGAGTAGTGCTTCAGTAAACATGGAAGTGCTGGTATTTCTTTGATATACTGAGTGCCTTTCCTTTGGGTAAACCCAGTAGTGAGATTGCTGTATCATAGGGTAGTTCTGTTTTTATAGAAATCTCTGTACTGTTTTATGTAATGACTGTCTTAATATATATTCTCACCAACAGTGTATAGGAGTTCTCTTTTATCTGCATCCTCACTAGCATTGTTATTTTTTGTCTTTTAGATAATAGCCATTCTAACTGGGATGAAATGATATCTCATTGTGGTTTTGATTTGCATTTCCATGATGATGATTTTTCATGTTTGTTGACTATTTGTATGTCTTCTTGAGAGGTTGTTTGGAGGTTCGAGCAGGGGAGTGCAGCTACTTATATAACCCAGACCAATAACTCATCCTCCTCTATCAGGGTTTGTCACCCATTTTGACCAAGCATGCAGAGACACACATGGAACAGAAAAGGAGCAAAGGGACACCTGCCTAGCCAGCCAGATCAGCTGAATCAACCCTGATGATCAGTGGGGTGGCCGATGTTGCAGCCACATCACCCTCACATATGTCTTCTTTTGAGAAATGTCTGCTCAGTTCCTTTGTCCCCTTTTTATCAGATTATTTTGCTTATTTGCTGTTGAGTTGAGTTCCTTATATATTCTGGTTATTAGTCCTTTGTTGTATGACTAGTTTACACATGTCTTCTCCCATTCTACAGGTTGTCTCTTCACTTTGTTGATTGTTTCCTTTGTTGTGTATAATCTTTTTAGTTTGATATCATTCATTTTTCTATTTTTGTTTTGTTGCTTGTGGTTTTGAAGTCTTAGCCAGAAAATATTTGCCAAGATCAATGCCCTGAACCATTCCCCCTGTGTTTTCTTCTAATAGTTTTATAGTTTCAGGTCTTATGTTTGAGTCTTTAATCTGTTTTGAGTTGATTTTTGTATATGGAGATATAGGAGTCTAGTTTCATTGTTCCGCACATGGATATCAAGTTCTCCCAGCATCATTTAATGAAAGGGTGTCCTTTTTCCCAGTTATCCTTGGTGATTTTGCTGAATGTAAATGTATGAATTTTATTATGAATAGTGCTGCTATAAACATTCAATTACTTGTTTTTGTGTAAACACACGTTTTCATTGCTTTTGTGTATAAACCTAGGAGTAGAATTGCTGGGTAATATTATAACTCTGTTTAATTTTTGAGGAAATGCCAGACTGTTTTCCAAAGTGGCTGACTTATTTTACATTTCAATTAGCAGTATATGATGGTTCCAATTTGTCCACATCCTTACCAACACATTTTATTATCTATATTTTAAATTATAGCCATCCTAGTAGGTATGTTATTATACATTTATCTAATGGCTAATAATGTTGATCAATTCAGTTTTTAGGTCATATGTTTTAATGAACAATTACAGTGATGAGACATGGCATTCCATTTTAATATTTTAATTTTTAATAATTTGAATAAAGTAGTAAAGAGCATATATGCTGTTAAATATCTACAGGTCATCTTTTTTTTTTTTTTTTTGGAGATGAAATCTCACTCTTGTCACTTAGGCTGGAGTGCAATGATGCGATCTCAGCTCATTGCAACCTCCACCTCCTGAGTTCAAGTGATTCTCCTGCCTCAGTCCCCGAGTAGCTGGGATTACAGGTGCCTGCCACCACACCTGGCTAATTTTTATACTTTTAGTAGAGACGGGGGTGGCGGTGTTTCACTATGTTGGCCAGCCTGGTCTCGAACTTCTGACCTCAGGTGATCTGCCCACCTCAGCCTCCCAAAGTGCTGGGATTACCACTGTGCCCATCCACAGCTCATCTTAAAAAATTCTAACTTGACTGCATAAAAGTGAAATCTAAGCAAAAACTTCAGAGACAGTTTCATAGGACAAATTTTCTATGGGATATTAAAACATACTTAGCTATTATCAAGTATATGGCAAAGAGACAATCTTTGCATCTCCTACTTGATATTTGTGTTCAAACAATTTGGATTCTATTGAGGAATATCTAAACTCTTCCAATTCTTTTAACATGAATAAAATAGCATCCACATCTGGAACCCAGACCACATGTGATGGCTCCACAGGGTTTGGTCAGACTTTGTTTTGAAACAAGGAGGCAGAAAACATAATGTGTTCCTAGCAAAAGAATCCACAGTCACAGTAAAATTGAAAGAATGAGGTTGCATAGAAGAAAAAGATATCCCTGAAGAAACTGGAGAAACAAATGAAAAATTATGACACAGGAATAAAGTCATCATAACATAAATGCAAATGAAAGTTTTAAAAAAGTTAAAAGAATTCACAGAGTGATTTTACTTTGAAGTGGTATCCAATACCACTAAACAAAATTAGAAATCATAGTTTAAGCAGAGGCTTAAATAAAACACATTTTACTTAATCCAGACTTTTTTAATGAAAATGCTCAATCTGTGCATTAGGAAGAAAAAAAAACAGGATACAATGTTTGCATAGCCCATTTTTAATTGTGGTCCAAATGTTGTATTTAAGATCAATAAAAAAATATAAACCAATTCTACAAATAAATTATAAAAAGGACAAATCTATGTGTCATTTCTGGTATTTTCCCTGCCAGCCAGTCCTGGAATCATAGAATGGGGGGAAAAAACAACTCTGCTCCCTTCCACCTAGTTTAGGAAGCACAGTGGATGGGATTATGTAAAAGTAATGTGATCCTGAATGAAAAACAGGAGGATGGCTCAATAAGCCCATTTGTCAGTTCCTTATCTGAGTGTTGTGCCAGTAAATTTGGGGAAAAAATACTGAGAAATGGGATGACAAATTCACACATAAAAAACTAAGGGTTAAAAGTGCAGTCTGTTTTTTTTCAATAAAAAAAATCTAAGGTTTTTAACCTGGAAAAGAAGTGGTCTGTTACTGAATGATTATTTGTCTCTAGGCCTTTACATAAAGATCTGTTCTCTTCCTCTTCAGGGGATTAATCATTATAAAATGAGCTAAAGATTTTTAGATGTTTTGGTTAGGCATAAATAAAAATTTATTAACAAGTAGATTCTTTATCCACATGAAGTGTCTTCAAAATAAATTGGTAAGTTGGATTTGTTTATATTGATTCAGATAACATTTATCTGGAAACAAGTGGCAAGATAATAACCTGCAAAGGAGTTTTCTGGCTCCGGGATTCCATGAAACCTTTTGTAAAACATTAGAGACAACTTGAAAATTTTACTTAATGATATTGCTTAACCTAAGTGATCTTATGCTTTTTTAAGTGTAAATAAATATGACAACAGCTAATATTTTTTAGATTTCATAAATTTTTTATGTTGTTAATTTGTATACATGGTTATTGGAACTATATATTCCATACAAAATGATCTTTATATTAAATATTTTTAGGATTTGAATGTACTTTCCAGACATAAAAAATTGAAGGAACTTTCTGTATCTGCATGTTATAGAATCACTGATGATGGAATTCAGGTAAGATAATTAAGATTTTCTGTTAAAGAATTAAGATTGAATTTTTTAAAAAAATTATTAATTCACTTTATTTCTTCTTTCTATCATTTTTTGGGGAACAGGTGCTCCTTGGTTACATAAGTACATTCTTTAGTGGTGATTCATGAGATGCTGGTGCACCCACCATCTGAGGAGTATACACCGTACCTAATTTGTAGTCTTATTCCTCACCCACTTCCTACCTTTTCCCCCAAGTTCCCAAAATCCACCGTATAATTAATTAATATGCCTTTGTATTCTTATAGCTTAGTCCCAGTTATGAGTGAGAACATACAGTGTTTGGTTTTTCCATTCCTGAGTTACTTCACTTAGAATAATGATCTCCAATTCCGTTCAGGTTACTGTGAATGCCATTGTTTCATTCCTTTTTATGGCCGAATGTATTCCATTTGTACCACAATTTCTTTATCCACTCATTGATTGATGGACATTTGGATTGGTTCCCCAATTCTGCCTTTGTGAATTGTACTGCTATAAGCATGCCTGTGCAAGCATCTTTTTTGTAAATGACTTCTTTTCTCCTGGGTAGATACTCAGTAGTGGGATTGCTGGATCAAATGACAGTTCTACTTTTAGCTCTTTAAGGAATCTCCACACTGTTTTCCATAGTGGCTGCACTAGTTTACATTCCCACCAAGAAGTGTTCCCTTTTCACTCGATCCCTGCCAACATCTATTATTTTTTGATTTTTTGATTATGACCAGTCTTGCAGAAGTGAGGTGATATTGCATTGTGGTTTTGACTTGCATTTCCCTGATCATTAATGATGTTGAGCATTTTTTTCATATGTTTGTTAGACATTTGTATATCATCTTTTGAGAATTGTCTATTCATGTCCTTAGCCCAATTTTTGATGGGATTGTTTTTTTTTCTTGCTAATTTGAGTTTCTTATAGATTCTGGATATTAGTCCTTTGTCAGATGTATAGATTGTGAATATTTTCTCCCACTCTGTGCCTTGTCTATTTACTCTGCTGATTGTCTCTTTTGCTGTGCAGAAACTTTTTAGTTTAATTAAGTATAAATTGAATAAATTTTGTGGGTCACAGTAGAAAAAAAAAGAAATGGATTGGAAATGTAACAAAACGTATTTGATCTTAGTTGAACCAAGTTCTTCTCCAGGCTCTTAGTTAGGTCTCCACAACCAAAGTGATTGAGATTTATTTTCCCATTTTTGCCTATCTACTCTCTCCCTTCCTCATGTCCGATTCAAAATAAACAAGGACATTTTACATGGAGAGTGATGAACTGCAGTGTGGTAAAAGTCTTCTCATATAAACAAAGTATTCTTTAGATAGAAATGTCATATAATCTAATCATGAAAGTTGGAAGAGTTTGAAAAATTATGCTAGATACTCAGCAATTAGGAGCTCAAGCTACTCAGACATACTTGCTAGCATCCTTTATGGGAATAGAAAGCATAAGATAAGTAATTGGCTAGGATAAATGATTGTGTGCTCAACTGATTCTTCAAGAGCTGATGAGAAAAGTGAAATTCCTAGACCTAATCTTGAGTGATGTGCAGGAAGTCATAAAGTACATATTGTGAGCAAGGCACAGTGTAATTTTTTCATCACTTTAAGCATATCAATATGCTGTTAGAAAAAAACCCTAAAGTCATGTGTCATACATGTATTGAGCAAGAAGGGAAGCAATAACCTAGGAATGCAAGCACTGAAACACAGTGGAAGTTCCAGATAAATGTGCCTTTAGAGTTTAAAACCCCAACCACTCAGAAAAACCTGAAAAAAAGTAGGAACAGAGAAAGAGAGAGAGAAAAGAACAGAGGAAGAAGAAGGAGGAGGAGGAAAGGGGAAGAGGAGAAGGAGGAGGAGGAGGAAGAGGAGAAAGAGGAGAAAAGGACAAGGGGGGAAGGGAAGGGAAGGAAAGGGAAGGGAGGGGAGAGAAGAAGGAGGGAGGAGGGAAGCAGAGAGGGAGGGAAGAAAAAGAGAAAGAAAAATTCTGTTTTTGAGATAAAAGGGCTTGTCCCACAAGTAGGAAGATAATGCAATAATAGCTGAGAAGTCCACAAAGCATGGCAAACCTGAAGTTATCTCTGTCAATTTGAAGTAGACTTTCCAAGAAGTTTTAACGTAACTAATAAGAGAGTTTTAAAATACCATCCCAACTAGTGGGCTGTAGAGGATTCCAGGTCAAAAAATGCTCTAGGCCGGGCATGGTGGCTCAAGCCTGTAATCCCAGCACTTTAGGAGGTCGAGGCAGGTGGATCACGACGTCAAGAGATTGAGACCATCCTGGTCAACATGGTGAAACCCTGTCTCTACTAAAAATACAAAAAATTAGCTGGGCATGGTGGCACGTGCCTGTAATCCCAGCTACTTAGGAGGCTGAGGCAGGAGAATTGCCTTAACCCAGGAGGCGGAGGTTGCAGTGAGCTGAGATCACGCCATTGCCCTCCAGCCTGGGTAACAAGAGAGAAACTCCATCTCAAAAAAAAAAAAAAAATGCTCTAGACCTCTAGCATTGAATTCTAGACTTCTGGAGCTGAAAGAATCTTAGAAACATCTAAATCAACTCCCAAATGTTAAGGTAGTAAGAATAAAAAATTACCTCAAAGGCCAAGAGGGCTTAAATGACTGGCCCAAAGTCTTATACATTCTCAGCAAACTAATTCAGTAACAGTTTTATGGAAGTGAAAGGTAGAAATGGAGAACTGCTCTTCTATATGGTTGATTGACAGCTTAGTGAGAAAAAGTATTTTCAAATTGTTTTTGCTGTTTCTCATTGTGTCTGAACAACGTAATTATACTTAAGGGAATCTGCTTTAAGGAGCATTAGTGTCACATAATGTGAATTTCCCCCAATTTTAGACCAGGGGTACTAATGTTCTAAGAAGTCCCTAAGAAATCTGTCTGGTAGTATATTCAATAGTATAGAGTTAAATAAACAAACATAAAACAAATATCTCAGAGGGGACTAGAAACTTCCGTATTGGAAATATTCTAACTCTTTAATAACAAAAAGGGTTACAAATCATTTAGATGTATTTAACTTACTAAGAGAAAAAGCCAAAAGATTGCTCTAAAGTTGAACTATGATTGACTTGCTGCAATTAACTTAAGGGTTAAGCATGTATTTACACAAAGCTTCATCTATAAATATGATATAGTCAGGCTTTCAAAAGATCTTTGACAAGGTGATAGACCAGAAAAAACAGTTTAAAATATTAACATTTCTAATACTGGGTTATAGTTCTCATATGGTGATCAATTATATTTGACCAATTTAGAAGTATTGAAACCCACCATGGTGATGACATAGCTTCTTAATATGCATCCTTGATTAATTTTGGATGCCCCTCTCATCCTTGGGATGAAGGAGTATTGACCAAAGTTTGATGTTAAGTATCAGGAGATCAGTGTTTTCTATCACTTATTTTTGATGCTGTGAGGTCCAGACATTTTTCTTTTCACTCTTTGGAGCCTAAAAATTGTACTATTTTTAGGTGCTCTGAGACTGTAGATGAAAGCATTTACCCATTTGCTAACTATATGACCATACAGTTTGGTTTTGGCATACCTTTAAAACAATTTAATCTTTTAAAAACTGACATGTATTTCTTTTCAGTAGTCTAAAAGATTAGTTGTTCTACTCTAGTCCATGAAAAAGAAATTTTCTTTTTTTTAATTTTTTCTAAAAAGACAAACAATCCAAGATACATGTGCAGAACATGCAGCTTTGTTACATAGGTATACATGTGCAATGGTGGATTGCTGTTCACCTATTGACCCATCCTCTGAGCTTCCTCCCCTTACCCCGACCCTGAAATTTTTCTTTGTCATCATTCCTCATCCCTCTTTTTCTCCTCCCTGCTTTTGATATGCATATGTCTGTGTTTGTCTGTGTTGTGGCTCCAGTTTTACCTCTTCCAAGGTTCATACTTCTGGGCATGTGATAATGTTTCTTCAGCCCAATTATTAAGTCCCAAAAGGGAACAGACAAAGCAGGGGGAGGAGAAAGTGACATATAAGCTAATTTCACAATTCCTAATCTGGATTTAAAAAGAGAAGGAAAGAGAGTAAAATAAGGTGAGTAAATTGAGATGTTTAGATTATCCACACTTTATCAAGAATGCTCTCTTGTTACTTAGAAAAGGTAACTATAGGAGAGATTCTGTTTTTAGCACAAGACATTGAAAACTTATACACTACATAATTCACTTAATGAGAAAAATTAATACAGTTTTCACCTTGGTTAGGTTTTGCAAGAGTTGTGAACATAATAAAAATAAAAAATTACCTCATTTTAATGTTTAGTGGAAACCACAGCACATGCAGAGTCAGTGTCTGGAGCCACAGATGTGTTGACTTTTAGGATCTGTCTTTAATTAATTTCTCCAACTGTAGTTCTTTTCTGAGAACAACAGACACTCAATGATTATGTTACACTAAAATTATTTGGTGCTCTTGAAAGGCATTTTAGAGAAGATGTTTGATGCAGCTGTAACTGAGCATTTCTTAAGAAACCTTTTTCTTGAGCATTTTATGAAGTCAGTTAAATAACAGCCAAGTATGGCAAAGGAATTGGCTTAAATGCAGTGTTATGCTACAGACATATTAGAACTTCCATCTTACTAAGTTCTTTTGATAGAACAAATGGAATAAATCCAATTATTTATTCTGGTTGCTTTTCATACTCTTAATCTAGTTAGCATTTCTCTTTCCCCTTTCCTAGAATGAAGCATAATGTAAATACATTTATATACTATCCATACACATGAATATATATTTTTATGCAGATTATCTTTAAATGAGAATCTTGCAGCTAGACAAAAAATTCTAATTATTTCATTGTTAGTAGGTTGAGGTAGTTAAGAAATGGTATTAGCAGGAAAAAATCAGGTTTCATTAGGATGCACCACAAGGACTGACAGGTGTGTATGCACTAAAAGTGTGCATATATGTGTATTTACATGCAAATACATGTAAATGTACATCTATG